GTTAGGGCGCCTGCAAGCCATTCACTCCCTACTCTTTAAAAATGGTTGGAGAGTGAAGGAGTCATTTTAGAGGGCTCATTATGTGCTGGACATTCTCTCTCATTTAGTTCTCATAAATGTCCTAAGAGCCAGGTAGTGGTACCCCCACTTTACAAGTGAGGAAACTGAATCTCAGAAAAGATGAGAGATCAAGGAGTTCAGATTTGCTAAGCTAGTAATTGACAGAGCTGGGATTTGAACTCAAGATCATCTGACTCTGAAGTCTATCATCTTGCCCTGTACCACACTTCCGTAAGGAAAGTGTATTAGTTTTTTATGGCTGCATAACAAATTACCACGGACTTAGCAACTTCCAATAGTACCTATTTATCAGTTCACAGTTCTGTAAGTCAAAATTCTGACACAGCCTGACTGGTTTCTTAGCTCAGTGTTTCACAAATACGAAATCAAGGTATTGGCCAGCCTGCATTTTAATCTGGAGCTCAGGGTTCTCATCCAAGTTCATGTGATTATGACAGGATTCAGTTCCTTGCAGTTGTAGGATTAAGGCTCCCATTTCCTTTCTGGCTGCCATGCACAGGATGCTCTCAGCTCTTAGAGGCTGTTCTCCTTCCTTGGCATGTTGCTCCTTCCACCTTCAAAGCCAGCAACAGAGAATCTTCCTTATGTTGAATCCCCCTGATTCTACAAATGTCTTTCCAGAAAGATCCCATTCCCTTTTAAAGGTTCATCTGATTAGGCCAGGTCCAGCGAGGATTACCAACCTTAAAACTCCGTTGAATTATGACCTTAATTACATCTATCCAACACTTTCACAACCACGGGTGTTTGACTAAATAACTGGAAGAAGATGTGTGAGCAGCCAGGGATTAGGACTCCTGGGTACCATCTCAAAAGTCCACCTACCACAGAAAGTGATTCTTTTGTGCTCCAAATGTTATTGTGTTGTATGGAGAGGAGAAATATCCTTGACCTTAGAGAGAGTGAAGCAAGTTTTCTAAAACTTTGAGAACTTCACCTCACTTTGCCTTTTCCGACTATGGATGAGAAAGCCTTTGTCTTGAGGTGGCAAGGAATGAGGCTGGAACAGTACCTAAAGATCACAGTGGCTGTAGAAGCGGCACATAAATCACATCTACCTCTCCTTGGGGATGCACCGTGGAACCTGAATTGAAAAATCTGTCTCCGGTGCTATAGAGACAGCCCTTGCAAGGGTCTAATGCCACCAGGCTGAAAAGTGAATTCTCCATAGTATCCAGGCATCAGGATCCAGACATCATGTCAGGTGCTCCAATCCCCTAAATAGCTGGTAGGGACAAGGAAGTAACTTGCCAGTGGCCTTTTGTTGTCACTGATCTGAGACTGAAAGACAGGAGATAGATGCAAAGCAACTCAAACATCATTAGATTATCCACTTTTACTATCCCTTTTCTCCTGGCTTCTCAATTTAAGTAAACTAAAGGGTATCTCCTATGACAGGAGCTGGCAGGCCTGTACTTCACATGAAAGAGTTAGAGCTGACTCTGGGGCTCAGGTGCAGGAGGAAGGAGGGGTGTGGGGGTAGCCTTCATGGAAGAAAACAAGGCCTTGGGCATTGAGTTACAGCTGAGACTAGCAAGCCTCATTGTCCAGCATTCCAAGTCGTCTAGCAACATGCTGGCCTCTGCTGCAGAAAGAGAACAGAGGATTCCCTGGCAGAATGAATGGAATCTGATTTCAATTACGTCCAGTACAGTCACCCTCTTCAGGCAGAGGGGCCAGAACACCTGGTGCAGCTTGGGCCACTGTGGCTGCAGGGACAGCACTACCCAGGTCCTAGACGCAAGTGGGAATGCAGCTGCTTTTCCTCAAACTGATACCATATAAGTCTAGAGGAGGAGGATGTGAAAATACCAGCCAAGTTCTCATTAGCACTATTCAGAAAATGGGAATTATTTCATGTTGATGGACTCTCCCCACAGTCTCTGCACATATTGATCTTGCCTGTAATGAGTTTGCTTAGGTCCACGAGTCATCACCCTGTTGAGATCTGAGTCACTGGTGGGAGAGTTGAGGTGACAGAGTGTACTTCACTGATTGCACCAGCACCAATTGCTTTGTCCCTGTTCCTTTTAGAAAAGTCCAAGGATTCATCTGTATAAAATTTATTTAGATTCTTTTCTTCTTTATCAATAGCATGAGTAGGGTATGACAAATGAGACAGCCGCCCCAGAGAACAGACTAGATTCACAGCATTATTCCATAGAACTTTCTGAGATGATGGAAATGTCCTGTGTCTGTATTATTGAACACTTGAAATGTGGCTAGTGAGACTAAGGAATTATATTTTCATTTTCTTTAATTTTAACTAATTTCAGTTTAAGTAGCCGCATGTGGCTAGTAGCTACTGTTTTGGACAGTGCATATCTAGAAGGAGCTCAGAGAGGTAAGTACTGTGATAGAGTAGGAAACAACTAGTCAAAAAGAGAACCGATGTGACACAGGGAACCCTGGATTAGAAATAAAAGCCCTGGTTTTAGTCTTAGCTCTACCACTGGGTGACCTCACTCTTTCTGGCTTCAACCTCCTCAACTTCGAGTTGAAAGGTTGGATTAATGTCAGAAGTGCCAAAATGGTAGCTAAGGACTGAATTTATCTTTGGAATACAGATGAGTTCCAGGAAAATCTTTTAAATATTACATGAATGCCTTCTAGGGTTGTATGTACATGAATGTGCACATGCATGTGCATGGCAAGGGCAGGATGGCAGGTAGTCATTTACTCCAGGTCACCAGAGTTCCTCCCATTCTCCTACACATGCACATGCAAACGCACACATGCACACACCACTGCATTACCTATGTTTACCCTGAAGGCATATTGAATCTGTGACCTTTGGATGAGATGATTTCTAAAGACCCTTCCTACTCCATCATGCTGTTAATTTTTAGACCACTATAGTGCTCCAAACCTGTTTCTACTTTGGGCATATGAATAGAGTATTTTCATAGTTTCCTGCCTCTTGTCTTCTGATTTGATGCAGTTACTGAAGTTTGGAGTCAAGGGTGAGGATGGAAATCAGGTGGGATATAACCCCATCCCCACTCCTCAACTCTGCTGTTTGGCTAGAAGTAAGATTCAGGTCTTCAGAGAACTTGAGAGGCAACATGATGTAGTAGAAAGAGCATAGCTTTTGTAGTCAGCAGACCAGGTTCAGATTATTGGGTTTTCTTTCTTTAAAAAAATAATTACTTATTTGTTTGTTTGTTTGACAGAGAGCAAGAGAAAACACAAGCAGGGGAAGTGGCAGGCAGAGGCAGAAGGAGAAGCAGACACGTTGCTGAGCAGGGAGCCAAATGCGGGTTTCGATCCCTGGACCCTGGGATGGCGCCAGTGCGGGGTCGATCCCAGGACCCTGGGATCATGACCTGAGCTGAAGGCAGATGTTCCACCCAGGCACCCTAGGATTCCATTTCTTGATAGCTGTGTTTCCTAAGTTTATTCACTTGTAAAATAGGGATAGGAAATATTCCTAATCTCCTAAAATCATGGTGGAATTAAATGACATAATGTGTTCATAGACTGAGGCATGTAGAAGAGCCTGAAAAAACTGTCACCCTCATTTTTCTTAGTTCCCTCAGGCATAGGGCTATTTACATCTCTGTCCTCTTTCAGGTTGGAATGGGGGACTACATGGTCTGTCAGCTTCTGAGCTCAAGGCCAGAAACTGCTAATGTTGAGAAAGATGGGGTCTACCTTTAGATACTGTACCAAAGGAACAGACCCAGTATGCACGGCCAGTCTGTGGAGCTGGCTACAAGAACACATGTCAGCCATGGGTTCACCAGATGGCAAGACATTTTGGGGGCCAGGCCTCTATATCTGGGAGAAGATGGGCCCATACCTTCCATCCTGTGCCTTTGGTGGGAGGTGGGAGGTGGGAGTTGACTGTGTATGTGTGCGTATCTCCTGTCATCTTGCACTCTGGGTTGATTTTCCAGTCTCCCCTGTTATTTTACCCTGAGTGCTCTGTGCTCCTCTTACACGACCAACCCCACCATTTTCTCCTTCTCTATCCTGGTTGTTGATCTAAATGTGTGGTCCATTCTTGCATTGACTTACCGAGTTGCACTATGACTGGAGTTTGCAGGACTTATTTTTCTAATTAAAACTGAAAATCAGTTCCAGGTAAGTATTTCTTCTATAGGATCCAGAAATACATCAGCGACAGGTTTTTTTGTATATATCCATTTAAATTGAGTAATCAACTTATCTCTTTGGTTTATTTTTATTTATTATTATATAAAGGGATTAGAGATAAAATGGTTTATCGTTCTCCCCAGTGCAACTGCCTATGCTAGGCCTCAAAGTTATGACCTCCTCAGTTTTGTCTATTTACGCCAATATAAATGCTAGTAAACATCAGGATGCTCATGTACCTCTAAATTGTGTGTGTGCAAGCATGGGGGGAGGGTGATTCTTAAGGTTTAAGTTTGTAATTCATGTTGTTTTAAAAGAAGATATTTCTATCATCCTTTCTGATGGCTGCCTCTTAGTTTGGGTCCCATTTTTCCAGTCAGGGATATTCTGTTACTCTTTTGATAATATTGGGGATTTCAGCCCTTTATCTTCTCAATCTTCTATTTGTTAAAGAAAAAAAAATCAGTATGTGTGTTACAGTGTATGTTCAACTATGGGCATAATGTTTTACAATATCTTAAGCTGTATAGTGTTCAGTAGAAAATGCTGTAACACCAGAAAATTCCCATTTATTGAACCCAAAAATGGGATTGAGGAGAAAGCAAGATATGAAAGTTTGGGTTTAGTAGGGATTTGGAATGATAAATCATTCATTCAACCAGTGTTTAAACTGAGCACTTGTTCTTAAGGAGTTTAGATTCTGTGACCAGGGAGAATGAATATCCCTATTTTCTTAGCTTGGGCAATTTTTCTAACGGGGTAGCTGAGTGGTGTGTTTGGCCATTGAAAGCAACTCCAAGTTTTCCTTTCCTTCCCTGTAGCCCGGAAGCTGAAGAAACTTGGTAATCTGAAACTACAAGAGGAAGGGGAGGCTTCCAGTGCCACCAGCCCCACTGAGGAGCCAACCCAGAAGTTGACAGTGTCACATATTGAAGGCTATGAGTGTCAGCCCATCTTTCTGAATGTCCTTGAAGCCATTGAGCCGGGCGTGGTGTGTGCTGGACATGACAACAACCAGCCTGACTCCTTCGCAGCCTTGCTTTCTAGCCTTAATGAATTGGGTGAAAGACAGCTTGTACATGTGGTCAAGTGGGCCAAGGCCTTGCCTGGTAAGGAAATGGGAAGTGGGGGCATGGGATAAGGGAGATCATATTTAGCAAATTGCTCCTATGGGCCTGCATCATGTCTTAACTCATGCAGTCCTCATAACCCGATGGAGGGGAGAGCTTGGTATAATTCCCACTTGAAAAATAAGGAAACTCCTAAATCAAGGAGAAGAACAGCATGATAGAGTATCCTGTGTTTCTCACATCTGCACATTATGGTCATGTTTGCCTGTTCCACCTACAGACATAGTCAACAAATTTCCCCATAATCACAGATCACATGGAAATACCCTTGTATACCTTAAGGTACTCTTCTACATGCGCACACACAGGCTTACCCACAGAGACAGTCTTGAGCTTGACTGATATTCGGTCTTCGGAAGCCTTATAATACAGTATGGTAGAAGGAAAGAGTTGGGAGTCAGAACGCTTCGGTTCTAGTCTTAGCTCTGCTGGTAACTCATTGTGTGAACCCTTCCCGTTCTGGGTCTATACTGTGTGAGAAGTAGTTTGGACTAAATTGATGGTTGTCAAATTTTGCTTCAAGAAACACTTACTGTTCTTTAAACTGCATTGGGAATTATAGTAGGAGGTAATGTTAGGTGATAATGAAAGAAATACAAAGTGTTTGTCTAACTTCTGTTTGGTTACCACCAGTGACAGGGAAATCACTTTCTCCCTAGGCCATCTGCTATTTGAGCTGGTCTGATTATTAGCATATTAGAGCTTGAAGAAGCCTCAGAGCTCCTCTATCCAAGAATTCACAACTTTTCTTTAGCAGCCCAACTCTTTAATTCTTAAAAAAACATTGTATACAGATCCAAGTGGAGATGGTTGATTTAAAACCAGTGCCTCTCCCTCACTACCCTGAGAGAAGCTTCGGGTCACTCTTACAGAATCTTAGGGCTCCAAGGAGCACAGTTTGAAAACAAGTGAACCATAAACTCTTTAAGGGTTGTCTAAATCCTAAAATTCGATGACTCAAAGATTATTTTGAAATATCAAGAACCTAAACCTGTTATGGAGTCAAAGATTAACCTGCCTTCTAAGAATAACTTCCATTCAGATGGAAATTTATAGTGAACAGAGCAGTTTCATTTGTATTACCTGATTTGATCTTCATAACAGTCTTATAAACCAGTGATTCTTTTTCTAATTAACAGATTAAAAACATTAAAGCTCTAAGCAGTCATGTGCTTGGCCTACAGTTACACAGTCTGAAAGTTGCAGGGCTGGAACTCAAGCCCAGGTCCCTTCCTAATCCCAAATGCCCTCCTCTTTCCACTCAACCCCTAGTCTGTGTGATACCCCTGTAGTTCTGGAGCGCTGGGATTTACAGTGAAGGACCAAAACCTCATCCAAGCCCATTTGGGTCATAATATGATCTCGTTGCCTTCAAAGACATTGCATGTTGGCTGTCAAGCCTCTGTTTTGCCTTTCTAACTCACAAGGCCCAGTTATAGCCACCAGACTATCCTAACACCTTCCTCACTTGAGAAGCCGAGGTTGACTAGCCAATAAGATCACTGGGAAAAAGACCTAAGGACTCTGGTTGTGTATGCAATGTGACAAAACAGAGGGTTCACAAAGGTAGAAAAGAAATGCAAAAAAGAATAAAAAAGGAAAGTTGTTTGTATTCTTATTACTTATTTGATTCTTATTACTTATTTGGCCGGATGTCTTGAGGTCCTTTGCGTAACAAAGAATCAGCTTAATCTTTCCTACCTATTCCCAACCACTTAAATTATCCTATTTATGGGATAGAGAACCTTTTCAAAGATGTGATTCCACTTAATCCTTACAGCAGTCCTGTTAATCAGAGAAGTTATTACTTCCATTTCAAATGACAAGGCTCAGAAAGGTTAACTAACTTGTTCCATTTGGTCACTTAACAGATGGAGCCAGAATTGGGGCTTACATTGTCTGATTTCTAATTTGGTGGTCTTAACAACAATCTAGTGCAAATCATTATAGCAGAATTTATATGACCTAGAGTCACTGGCTTTCCTCAGCTCAACCTCCAGAATGGGAAACCTCCTCTTTAGGTTAACAAGTCTGCAAGTCAGTATCAGTCCACCATCTAGCTCAACCAAGGAGATGATCTTTGACCCTGGGTCATTTAAAATAGTATCCTCAAAAGAAAGCCAATTGCCACATTCAGAAGAACTGTTATTCATATCATCAGTAATTATCTACTAGTTCAAGTTATTTGCTGACCAAACAGATTGAGTTCCTATCTTGTGTGAGCCACTGTGCTAAGCATCTACACAAATTCTGTTGTCAGTTTTCTGTGATGGTGATGATATATGTAAATCACCTAGAATAGTACCTGGACATTAATAAATAATAACTATCAATTGAGAGTAGGTGAGTAGATTGTTCACAAGTACATTTATAATCAGATGTTTCTGGTTTGGAATCTTAGCTATAAACTAGTTGTGTGACCTTGAGCAAATCATGTGTCTACATGTGCTTCTGTTTTTTCATTGGTAGAGGGGGTAGAACAATCACTAACTTGCTAAGTGTAAGTAACATGGAGCTTATGTAGAAAGAGGATAGGTCATTATTATGAGGCTTTCACTAAAATCAATTCAAGCTGCCATCAGCCTTACCTAGAAGTTCATGCATGGGTCCCAAAGATGCTTTATCTTATGTGAAGACTTTAGCTGTCAGATGTACTATAGCAATAAAGATTTCCCAACTGGCCTTTCTTTGAACACATTCTCCCAGACTAGATAGGGGACAACAGACTAGATAGGTTTCCATTGCAGATTGCTGAGAAATTATAATTGACTGAATTTTATTGAGAAAACAGAATCCCAGTGACACTTTCTCTGCTTCCTAACCTGTTGGGTATGTTTCAGAACCTGACAATGACTCCTCTCAATTTCTCCAGAATAGCCTAATACAGTAGAAAATAGGTGTTAAGTGAAGGTATGCTGAAGGAAATCCGTAGGCTGGAGCTACTCTTTCTTCAAGTCATCTCTTACTTAATAGTCATGCTATCTGAGCAGACAACTCCAAAGGCTGGGCATTAAAAAACAGAGTTAAGTGTTGTGATCATATTAGATCTATAGGAAAATTAGCCTGCTATGTTGCTGATATATACACAGTAATCAGGACTGAGTGCTAAGCAGGCCTCACTAAGGACCATTAGTATTATTATAATTACTATTACAGCCAAACTAAGCTTTCCCATTTTTCTCTTCTTTTTTAGTTCTCTGGCATCTCAGGGAAGGAAAAAAGCATCAGTTTTAATGGCTTCCTTGGTACTTGTATAGTTTAATCCTCATTCTACCTAGGTACCCTCATATTCACATACCAAGCGGCCAAGTCTTTCTTGCTTCTGCTACAGAGGTTCAGGGTTCAAGCTCCCAGGTCCTTTCCCCAAGATGTGTTGCATAATTGGTCCCTGCTTTTTGTGTCCTACTAGGAAGAGTTAGTACCAGGAGTTCTGTGCTGCAAAATGACTTCTGGCTGGAAATACTCTGGAGTCTGAGACTTCAGCTAGTTTGTCAACATGTCACTACAGTGAAGACGGGAGGCACAGGCCTGGGAGCTAAGACTGCAGCCAGTCCATTGAGCTGCAGTGGTGGTGATCTGGGGACTCTATAGTCTTTGTTGTCTAGTAGGCTTGGGACCTTAAAGAAAAGGGAAATTGGCTTTTTGTGTTGGCAAGGACCAACCAAACAGAACAATGTGTCTCTATAGTGTAGACTTCAGACCTGGGCCTGTGGCTAAGAAACACTCATGACCTTGGTAGTTCTTGAGCTGTGTCCTTCAGCAGTAGAAGGCAAAAAGCACTGAGGTAGAGAATCAGAGCACCTAGGTTCTAGTCCCAATTCAGGCACATATAGACTGTATGACCTTGGGGAAGTCAGTTAACTTATCTGGCCCTCAGATTCTTTGTTGGCAAAATGAGTGTCACATTGTCTACCCTCTGGGGTTATTGTGAGAGTTAAGTCAGGTCATCAACAAGAAAGCTATAAGCTTTATCTATATTCATGGAAGCATTCTTAATGAGGTATAGCAAAACAAACAGATAATTCTGGATCTTTTGGGGAAAAGAGAAATAGGGTGCTGGTAGGAGATGAGCTCTGAGGTGATTCTCTAAACATTCAATTGTCTCGAAAATTCCAGAAGAATATAGGTACATCTGTTCTACCTTGTGGTATTCTGGAAGTAGCATCTAGGAACCTCCTTTCTCTGAGACTAAGGGAGATAATTTGGAGATCATCTAATTCCCATTTTATAAAATGAAAAAAATGTTCATTATTCCATTTAATTACTATCACATTAATATAATATTAAATTAACATTTCAAAGATGTGTACTTAAGTATCTGAACTGTGCTACGTACTAGCGAGGAAAAGATGAAAGAAAAGATGGTCCCTGTCTTCAGGAATCGACAAGTCTCATGGAGGAGACATATGTGTACATAAGTAAATTCTAGTACTGTGTAATGAGTGCTGTGATTGAGTAGGGGTACACAAAGTTCAGTAAGAAGGTAAAAGAAGAATCTTTTCTTCTGCATAGGTGAGTTGGAAAAGCCTTCACAGAGGAAGTAGCTTTCACTGAAGATTTGAAAGATGAGTAGGTATTTATCAGATGGAACCCCTGGGAATGGAGGAATACATTCTAGGCAAAGCCAACTGCCTGTGCAGAGATAGCAGAGCTATAGAGGCATGAGAAAGTATGGTGTGTTCAGCAAACTAAACATTTCAGAATAACTAGAACCTAAATTACAAGTGACAAGAAATTAGTCTAAGGAGACAGGTCATAAGGAACTTGTTTGTGCATAATAATGGCAGTAGAGCAGGAATGACAGGGTAGGAAACTAGCAGAGCCAGGTTACTTGTTGAATAGAAAATAATGGATAGGAAGTGAGAGCCAGAAAGAGGATCAGAGTAAAGATAGAGCCTGAAGGTGGTATAGAGAAGGCAGTTGCTATCAAAGGCATTACAACGTATGCTGATATATAATAATATCCATTCGCCAGGGTTGTTAAAAGGGACAAATGAGATTATAGCTAGAAAAGATCTTTGTCAAGTGAAAAGTGTTGTCCACATAGGAGAAATGATTATTACACCGCATCTTCAGAAAGGCATATAGTAATCAAGAGCACAGGCTTTAGAGTCAGACTGCTTGGCTTTGGAATGTGGTCTGCCAATTATTAGCCTTATGATCTTAGACAAGTTTCTTAACCTTTCTCTAATTCTCTTTTACTAATTCACAGAATGGGTTTACTAGTAGTACCTACTTTACTGGATCATTGTGAAGATTAAGTGAGTTAATATAAGTAACATACTTCTACAAGAATTCATTCATCGTAAGCAGCCAGTGTTAGATGATAATTCTCTTCCAAATGACAGTACAATTTTTTGCCTCCATCATCATCTCATTTGAGTAGCTTAGTGAAGTAGGGTAAGCAAGGAATATTATCCCCACCACACAGTTTGTTTTTCCCCAGCTCCTCAGCATTATTGGTCCCTGGGTCTCCTCAGGAGCTGCCTAAGTGCCAGTGGTTCTCAGCCCAGTAGAGGGCCGGGACTTCATTCAGCCCATCAATGCTCAGTCTGACCACTGCCTCTGCCCCATCTTCAGGCTTCCGCAACTTGCATGTGGATGACCAGATGGCAGTCATTCAGTACTCCTGGATGGGGCTTATGGTGTTTGCCATGGGCTGGCGGTCCTTCACCAATGTCAACTCCAGGATGCTCTACTTCGCCCCTGACCTGGTCTTCAATGAGTAAGTGTTCATGGGCCCAGAATTCACATAAAACATAACATCCTGGCCAGACCTGGTTGGTGGTGATGATGGTAATGGGAGTAACAGTGGCAGGGGAAAGGGGAGTAGGCCATTTGACCTGTATGTGAGGCAGTAGAGGCTTCAGTCAGCCTTCCCAATCTGATGTGGCTTTGCCCTGCCGAAAGGCCACCTGGTGGAAAGCAGTGGGGGAGGGGGGTGGGTGCTGGCCATTCCTTTCCCACCCAAGACCTAGTATTTTGGCCATGTTTCTGACCTGCCCTGAAGATTATCTCAACCTCATGTCATGGACCCTCTTCTTCACATTGAGCAACACAGGGAATGGACAAAAAGACTAGCTGTGAAATCTGAAGTTGCTGTGGTCCCTTTGCCTCCACTGAGGGCTATTGCCAGTCACCATTCTTTGAGAAGTTCTTCTGTGCTAGGACTATATTAGATACTTCCTATACCTCTTCTCATTGAGCCCTCATGATAACCTGATCTCCCCTTTTTATAGATAATATTTTTTAATGAATGGGGAAAATGAGGCTCAACAAAATAAAATAAAGTGGCTCACTGAAGGCATATTACTGATAGAATTCAAAGTAGGTCTGCATAACTCTTAGCTCTTATACTGCCTTATGGGGTTAAATGACGGGGAGGAGCAGCTCTACCACTCTCTGGCCATGTGACGTTGGCCCAGCCACTCCCCTTCTCTTTAAAAACAGGTTTAAGTGAAACCTTAGTGGCTCAGTTGGTTAAGCATCTAACTCGTGGTTTTGGCTCAGGTTGTGATCTTGGGGTTGTGACACCTAACCCTGCATGGGGCTCCACGATCAACAGGGAATCTGGTTTCCCTCTCCCTCTGCCCCTCCCCCCACTTGTGCTGTCTGTCCCTCTCTCAAATAAATTAATACATCTTAAAAGAAAAAGCCCATATGTCTATTGATAGATGAATGGATAAAGAAGATGTAGTATGTATATATATACAATGGAACATTACTCAGCCATCAAAAAGAGTGAAATCTTACCATTTGCAAATATGTGCATGGATGGAACTGGAGGGTATTATGCTAAGAAAAATGAGTCAATTAGAGAAAGACAATTATTATATTATTTCACTCATATGTGGAATTTAATAAACAAAGCAGAAGATCATAGGGGGAGGAAGGGAAAAATAAAGTAAGATGAAATCAGAGAGGGAGATAAACCGTAAGAGACTCTTAACTACAGGAACAAACTAAGGGTTGCTGGAGGGGAGGTAGGTGGGAGATGGGGCAACTGGGTGATGGTCATTTAAAAAGAGCACTTGGGGGCCCCTGGGTGGCTCAGTGGGTTAAAGCCTCTGCCTTCAGCTCAGGTCATGATCCCAGGGTCCTGGGATCAAGCCCCACATTGGGCTCTCTGCTCAGCAGGAAGCCTGCTTCCTCCTCTCTCTCTGCCTGCCTCTCTGCCTACCTGTGATCTCTGTCTGTCAAATAAATAAATAAAATCTTTTAAAAAGAAAAAAATAGGGGAAGAGTCAAGATGGTGGAGAAGTAGCAGGCTGAGACTACATCAGGTAGCAGGAGATCAGCTAGATAGCTTCTCTAAAGATTGCAAACACCTACAAATCCAAGGGGAGATCGAAGAGAGGAAGAACAGCAATTCTAGAACAGAAAATCAACCACTTTCTGAAATGTAGGACTGGTGGAGAAGTGAATCCAAAGCGACGGGAAGATAGACCGCGGTGGGGAGGGGCCGGCTCCCGGCAAGTGGCGGAGCAACAGAGCACTAAATCAGGACTTTTAGAACTCTGTTCCGCTGAGGGACATCGCTCCAGAGGCTACACCAGGGTGAAGCCCACACGGGGTCAGCGTGGCCTCAGGTCCCGCAGGGTCACAGAAGGATCAGGGGTCTCTGAGTGTCGCAGAGCTTGCAGGTATTAGAACAGGGAAGCTGGCTACAGAGACAGAGCCGAGGAGTGAGCTCTCAGCTCGGGGTTACCTTGAACTGGTCGCAGGCTCGGTCAGCTCAGAGTGCAGCTGGAGGCCAGGGAGATGGGAGTAATTGGGCGCTATTCTCTGAGGGCGCGCTGAGGAGTGGGGCCCCGAGCTCTCCGCTCCTCCGGGCCGGAGACTGGGAGGCCGCCATTTTCATTCTCGTCCTCCGGAACCCTACGGAAAGCATTCAGGGAACAAAAGCTCCTAAAAGCAAACCCGAGCTGATTATTTAGCCCGGCCCCTGGTAAGGGCGGTGCAATTCCGCCTGGGGCAAAGACACTTGAGAATCACTACAATAGGCCCCTCCCCCAGAAGATCAACAAGAAATCCACCCAGGACCAAGTTCACCTACCAAGGAGTACAGGTCCAATATCAAGGAGAGCAGCGGAGTTCCAGAGGAGAAGAAAGCAAAGCACGAAACTCATGGCTTTCTCCCCATGATTCTTTAGTCTTGCAGTTAATTTAATTTTTTTTCATTTTTTTTTCTTCTTCGGCTAAATATTTTTTAACTTTTACCCTTTTCTTTTTTAACGTTTTTTTAACTAGTTTATCATATATATTTTTTTTTCATTTTTATATTTTTTCTTTATTCATTTTCTTTTTTTAATTGCTTCTTTTTTTTCTGAACCTCTTTTTATCCCCTTTCTCCCCCCCACAATTTGGGATCTCTTCTGATTTGGTTAAAGTGTATTATCCTGGGGTCTTTAGCACCCTTTTAGTATTTTACTTGCTCCTTCATATACTCTTATCTCGACAAAATGACAAGGTGGAAAAATTCACCACAAAAAAAAAGAACAAGAGGCAGTACCAAAGGCTAGGGACCTAATCCATACAGACATTGGTAATATGTCAGATCTAGAGTTCAGAATGACAATTCTCAGGGTTCTAGCCAGGCTCGAAAAAGGCATGGAAGATATTAGAGAAACCCTCTTGGGAGATAAAAGCCCTTTCTGGAGAAATAAAAGAGCTAAAATCTAACCAAGTTGAAATAAAAAAAGGTATTAATGAGGTGCAATCAAAAATGGAGGCTCTTACTGCTAGGAGAAATGAGGCAGAAGAAAGAATTAGTGATATAGAAGACCAAATGACAGAGAATAAAGAAGCTGAGCAAAAGAGGGACAAACAGCTACTGGACCATAAGGGGAGAATTTGAGAGATAAGTGACACCATAAGACAAAACAACATTAGAATAATTGGGATTCCAGAAGAAGAAGAAAGAGAGAGGGGAGCAGAAGGTATATTGGAGAGAATTGTTGTAGAGAATTTCCCTAATATGGGAAAGGAAACAAGCTTCAAAATCCAGGAGGTGCAGAGAACCCCCCACAAAATAAACAAGAATAGCTCCACACCCTGTCACCTAATAAAAACATTTACAAGTCTTAGTGACAAAGAGAAAATCCGGAAAGCAGCCCGGGAAAAGAAGTCTGTAACATACAATGCCAAAAATATTAGAGTGGCAGCAGACTTATCCACAGAGACCTGGCAGGCCAAAAAGAGCTGGCATGATATATTCAGAGCACTAAACGAGAAAAACATGCAGCCAAGAATACTATATCCAGCTAGGCTATCATTGAAAATAGAAGGAGAGATAAAAAGCTTCCAGGACAAACAAAAACTGAAAGAATTTGCAAACACCAAACCAGCTCTACAGGAAATATTGAAAAGGGTCCTCTAAGCAAAGAGAGAGCCTAAAAATAGTAATCAGAAAGGAACACAGACAATATACAGTAACAGTCACCTTACAGGCAATACAATGGCACTAAATTCATTACTCAATAGTTACCCTGAATGTTAATGGGCTACATGCCCCAATCAAAAGACACAGGGTATCAGAATGGATAAAAAAACAAAACCCATCTATATGTTGCCTACAAGAAACTCATTTTAAACCCGAAGACACCTCCAGATTTAAAGTGAGGGGGTGGAAAACAATTTACCATGCTAATGGACATCAAAAGAAAGCTGCGGTGGCAATCCTTATATCAGATCAATTAGATTTTAACCCAAACACTATAATAAGAGATGAGGAAGGACACTATATCATACTCAAAGGATCTGTCCAACAAGAAGGTCTAACAATTTTAAATACCTATGCCCCTAACGTGGGAGCAGCCAACTATATAAACCAATTAATAACAAAATCAAAGAAACACATCAACAATAATACCATAATAGTAGGGGACATTAACACTCCCCTCACTGAAATGGACATATCATCCAAGCAAAAGAGCAACAAGGAAATAAAGGCCTTAAATGACACACTGGACCAGATGGACATCACAGATATATTCAGAACATTCCATCCCAAAGCAACAGAATACACATTCTTCTCTAGTGCACATGGAACATTCTCCAGAATAGATCACATCCTGGGTCCTAAATCAGATCTCAACCGGTATCAAAAGATTGGGATCATTCCCTGCACATTTTCAGACCACAATGCTCTGAAGCTAGAACTCAATCACAAGAGGAAATTTGGAAAGAACCCAAATACATGGAGACTAAACAGCATCCTTCTAAAGAATGAATGGGTCAACCAGGAAATTAAAGAAGAATTGACAAAATTCATGGAAACAAATGATAATGAAAACACAACGGTTCAAAATCTGTGGGACACAACCAAAGCAGTCCTGAGAGGAAAATATATAGCGGTACAAGCCTTTCTCAAGAAATAAGAAAGGTCTCAAGTACACAACCTAACCATACACCTAAAGGAGCTGGAGAAAGAACAAGAAAGAAACCCTAAACCCAGCAGGAGAAGAGAAATCATAAAGATCAGAGCAGAAATCAATGAAATAGAAACCAAAAAAACAATAGAGCAAATCAACAAAACTAGGAGCTGGTTCTTTGAAAGAATTAATAAGATTGATAAACCCCTGGCCAGACTTATCAAAAAGAAAAGAGAAAAGACCCAAATAAATAAAATCATGAATGAAAGAGGAGAGATCACAACTAACACCAAAGAAATAAACACAATTATAAGAACATACTATGAGCAACTCTATGCCAACAAATTTGACAATCTGGAAGAAGTGGATGCATTCCTAGAGACATATAAACTACCACACCTGAACCAGGAAGAAATAGAAAACCTGAACAGACCCATAACCAGTAAGGAGATTGAAACAGTCATCAAAAATCTCCAAACAATCAAAAACTCAGGGCCAGACGCTTCCCGGGGGAATTCTACCAAACATTTAAAGAAGAACTAATTCGTATTCTCCTGAAACTGTTCCAAAAAATAGAAATGGAAGGAAAACTTCCAAACTCATTTTATGAGGCCAGCATCACCTTGATCCCAAAACCAGACAAGGATCCCATCAAAAAAGAGAACTACAGACCAATATCCTTGATGAACACAGATGCAAAAATTCTCACCAAAATACTTGCCAATAGGATTCAACAGTACATTAAAAGGATTATTCACCACGACCAAGTGGGATTTACTCCAGGGCTGCAAGGTTGGTTCAACATCCGCAAATCAGTCAATGTGATACAACACATTAATAAAAGAAAGAACAAGAACCATATGATACTCTCCATAGATGCTGAAAAAGCATTTGACAAAGTACAGCATCCCTTCCTGATCAAAACTCTTCAAAGTGTAGGGATAGAGAGCACATACCTCAATATTATCAAAGCCATCTATGAAAAACCCACCGCAAATATCATTCTCAATGGAGAAAAACTGAAAGCTTTTCAGCTGAGGTCAGGAACAGGGCAGGGATGTCCATTATCACCACTGCTATTCAACATAGTACTAGAAGTCCTAGCCTCAGCAATCAGACAAAAAAAGGAAATTAAAGGCATCCAAATTGACAAAGAAGAAGTCAAACTATCACTCTTCGCAGATGATATGATACTATATGTGGAAAACCCAAAAGACTCCACTCCAAAACTGCTAGAACGTGTGCAGGAATTCAGTAAAGTGTCAGGATATAAAATCAATGCACAGAAATCAGTTGCATTTCTCTACACCAACAACAAGACAGAAGAAAGAGAAATTAAGGAGTCAATCCCATTTACAATTGCACCCAAAACTATAAGATACCTAGGAATAAACCTAACCAAAGAGGCAAAGAATCTATACTCAGAAAACTATAAAGTACTCATGAAAGAAATTGAGGAAGACACAAAGAAATGGAAAAATGTTCCATGCTCCTGGATTGGAAGAACAAATGTTGTGAAAATGTCTATGCTACCTAAAGCAATCTACACATTTAATGCAATCCCTATCAAAATCCCACCTTTTTTTTTTTCAAATAAATGGAACAAATAATCCTAAAATTTATATGGAACCAGAAAAGACCTCAAATAGCCAAAGGAATATTGAAAAAGAAAGCCAAAGTTGGTGGCATCACAATTCCAGACTTCAAGCTCTATTACAAAGCTGTCATCATCAAGACAGCATGGTACTGGCACAAAAACAGACACATAGATCAATGGAACAGAATAGAGAGCCCAGAAATAGACCCTCAACTCTATGGTCAACTAATCTTCAACATAGCAGGAAAGAATGTCCAATGGAAAAAAAGACAGGCTCTTCAATAAATGGTGTTGGGAGAATTGGACAGCCACATGCAGAAAAATGAAATTGGACCATTTCCTTACACTACACACGAAAATAGACTCAAAATGGATGTAGGACCTCAATGTGAGAAAGGAATCCATCAAAATCCTTGAGGAGAACACAGGCAGCAACCTCTTCGACCTCAGCCGCAGCAACATCTTCCTAGGAACATCACCAAAGGCAAGGTAAGCAAGGGCAAAAAGGAACTATTGGGATTTCATCAAGATCAAAAGCTTTTGCACAGCAAAGGAAACAGTTCACAAAACCAAAAGACAGCTGACAGAATGGGAGAAGATATTTGCAAATGACATATAAGATAAAGGGCAAGTGTCCAAAATCTATAAAGAACTT